ATTTGACTATATTGCTTGAAGCGACTTCTTCTCTGGAACTAAGAGATGGATATCAACCATATTTGACAGGAAGCATCCCTAGGTGTTGGTGATTCAAAATTGTACAAATGGTGGGGCAAACCCCCTGGCTAAGGGGTGGGGGCCCAAAAAAGTTTATTACTTGAAAATGGTTGAGATCCCTACCGTATAACCATATATACAATTGCTGATTATAAGGAGAAGAATGTACATTTGCTTCCAGGATGGACCTAGGGTTTGGTCCCACCCTTGGAGACATAGTCCCTGGGTCATAACTTTGAAATGGTTGAGATCCCCACCCCAAAACTATATATACAAATGCTGGGCATAAAGAGACAAATGTAGTCATGATATTAGAATAGACTCTGGGGTCTGACCAAACCCCTAGGGACCTAGAGTCTTAGTCACAGCTTGGAAACAGCCACCCTATAACCATATATACAATTGCTGAGTATATAGAGATGAATGCACATATGCTTCCAGGATGGCCTTGGGGTCTGCCCCACCCATGGAGACTTAACCCCTGGGTCATAACTTTGAAATGGTTAAGATCCCCACCCCAAAACCATATATACAACTGTTGGGCATAAAGAGAGGAATGCAATCATGATATTAGAATTGATCTTGGGGTCTGGCCACAACCCTAGGGACCTAGTTCTGAGTCACAGCTTGGAAGCTGTTGATATCCCCACCCCATAACCATACATAAAATTGCTGGGCATGAAAACTCTAATACAGATATGCTACAAGGATTGGCCTTGGGGTCTGGCATATTCCCTTGGATCTCATTTGGAGAATACTTTGCCATGATTGATTAGATATCCAGGTGAGCGATACAGGCCCTCTGGGCCTCTTGTTCATTTTCAGCTGAAAATTATTGAAACTTGATCAGAATGATCTTTGGTGGATGAGGGTATTACATTGTAAAATTGGGATTCCTAGCGTAGGGCTAGGGCGAGGACTCCAAGGGAAAATTTACCAATATTTTAAAATTCTTATTCTTTGATGACAATTTACAAGTACATGTATTGTATTTCACTTAGTTTACATGCACATTTCCACATCACATCTCAACAATGAAATTGAGCTACCAGTACCTATAATATAACTCAGGTGCATGACCCCTTATGCTCTTACCCCTCTTTTTTAATTAATTTTTAGCTCACCTGGCCCGAAGGGCAAAGTGAGCTTATGCCGTGGTGCGTCCATCCATCAAACGTCAATATTTTGTTAAAAACAACTTCAACAAAGGGCTACCTGGTTTGTTAAATAAATTACCCTCACTTATATTCAAGGTCACAGGGGTCAAATATGATAAAAAAAAATAAACAACTTCTTCTGAATAACTAAAATACCCAGTATGATGATATTTGGCCAGTAGCATGCTGGGATGAAGGGTTACCAAGTTGTTTAAACAAATGACCTTCACCCATATTCAAGGTCACAGGGGTCAAATATGTTAGAAACTTTAAAACAACTTCTGAAGAATAACCAAAATGCCCAGGGTGATGATATTTGGCCAGTAGCATGCTGGTATGAAAGGCTTCCAAGTTTGTTCAAATGAATGACCTTCACTTATATTAAAGGTCACCGGGGTCAATTGTCTAAAAAGAACTTCAAACAAATTCTTCTGAATAACCAAATGGACCAGAATGTTGATATTTGGTCAGGAAGATGCTGGGATGAAGGGCTACCAAGTTTGTTCAAATGAATGACCTTGACTCATATTCAAGGTCACAGTGATCAAATAATGTATATAAAAAAAACTTTTAAACAACTTCTTCTAAATAACCATGAGGCCCAGAAGGTCTATATTTTGCTGTTAGCATGCTTGGATGAAGGGCTACCAAGTTTGACAGATAGGGATAGGGGGCGTCTGACAGGTACGGATATGGGGCGTCTGACAGGTAGTGATAGAATGTGTCTGACAGGTAGGGATAGGGGGCGTCTGACAAGTAGGGATAGGGGGCGTCTGACAGGTACGGATATGGGGCGTCTGACAGGTAGTGATAGAATGTGTCTGAGAGGTTGGGATAGGATGTGTGACAGGTAGGGATAGGGGGCGTCTGACAGGTAGGAAAAAGGGGCATCTGACAGGATGTGTCTGACAGGTAGGGATAGGATGTGTCTGACAGGTAGGGATAGGATGTGTCTGACAGGTAGGGATAAGATATGTCTGAAAGGTAGGAATAGGATGTGTCTGAGAGGTAGGGATAAGATGTATCTGACAGGTAGGGATAGGATGTGTCTGACAGGTAGTGATAGAATGTGTCTGACAGGTAGTGATAGAATGTGTCTGACAGGTTGGGATAGGATGTGTCTGTCAGGTAGGGATAAGATGTATCTGACAGGTAGGGATAGGATGTGTCTGACAGGTAGGGAAAGGATGTGTCTGTAAGGTGGTAATAGGGGGCATCTGACAGGTAGGGATAGGATGTGTCTGAAAGGTTGGGATAGGATGTGACTGACAGGTAGGAATAGGGGGTGTCTGACAGGAAGGGATAGGATGTGTCGGACAGGTAGGGATAAGATGTATCTGACAGGTAGGGATAGGGGGCGTCTGACAGGTAAGGATGATATTTCTGACATGTAGGGGATATGATGTGTCTGAGAGGTTTTATTAGGATGTGTCTGACAGGTAGGGATAGGGGGTGTCTGACAGGTAGGGATAGGGGTGTCTGACAGGTAGGGATAGGGGGCGTCTGACAGGTAGGGATAGGATGTGTCTGACAGGTAGGGATAGGGGCGTCTGACAGGTAGGAATAGGGGGTGTCTGACAGGTCAGGATGATATTTCTGACAGGTAGGGGATATGATGTGTCTGAGAGGTTTGATTAGGATGTGTCTGACAGGTAGGGATAGGGGGCGTCTGAGAGGTAGGGATAGGGGGCGTCTGACAGGTAGGGATAGGGGGCGTCTGACAGGTTTGATTAGGATGTGTCTGACAGGTAGGGATAGGGGATGTATAGGGACCATTATTTCAGTGACAGTTATCAGGTTGTGTTTTGTGTTTACAGCCATCTCCAGACTCCTATGATCACACAGTAGATGAGCAGGAGCACACAGTGGAGCAGTGGAAAGGTCAGTACAGTGTTGTGAGGTCCGTATCTCATATGTGTTCACTGTTTCACATATGCACTGTAAACAAATGTACACTAGGAACTTGAACTATGCTTTTGCTGTATAAGAGGCTACATGTATAATAAATAGCTTATTCACCAGCTAAGGTATAACAGAAATATTCATTGTATCATTAAAGCAGTTAACATAAGCTCATTTCTTTTAATTGATGGATTTAATAACACATTTACATTAGGATTTGTAATTAAGCATATGCACATATCATAAATCATTTCTCTTTTTGTAGCTATGAATATGGAGCTTATGTTTTATGAGATTGAAATTATATTGTGAGGTATTTAAAAGTAAGGAAAAAGTTATCTGTGAATCAAATAGCTAAACAAATAATCAATCCGTTCATTAATCCGTTTCATTTCTTACATTCATTTCTGTTTTTCTTTTCAGAGTTGATATACGATAAAGTCATGTCATTTGTAGTCAGGGAAAAGAAAAAGCTACATTCAGCCTCCAATCCTATGCAAAACCATGCTGGTATGTGTTGCTATTTATGCCTGCACTAAACTCTTAACCCTGGTTTGAATTTCTCAATCCCCATGTCTTGTATGCAACTCTGCCATAGAGGTTTAGTGGGATTGGGAGGGGAGTAAAAGCACTGTCATTATTAATAAAATTAATTAGTAAAATTATTTAAAAAAATAATTTTTGGTGACTATAACTATGTAGGGGAGATATATCACAATGAGTTTGTGGTTAGCACCACACGTATGGCTAAGGTCGATATTTAGTCCTTATTGAAGATGCAACTTTTGCATTTTAATAACATTTCCCAGGTAAAGTAAACCACACAGAGCTTTTACATATAAATGTTTTCCAAATATGTCAGACATGCTGTTTGAGGTGATCTGGACCATTCATTATGAGGTGTCAAATTCAAACTTTACCAAAAATTCACAAATGATTACTGATTGACATTTGTCAGCTTTCAAAAATTGTGATCATGAAAACACAACCCTGTTCCTGCAAAAATAACCTAAAAAAGTGAGTTAGAAAGTAACATAAACTAAAAGAAACAACACAGAAAGATAAAATAGAATTCTCTATTAATTAAGTTTGGAGTTTTGTCAGTGGTCTACCATATTGATTTAAAAGTGTTTAAACAACAAATAAATTGCTAACACATTAAATGACAGCCCTCAAATTCCTGTCTTTTTGTACGCTTGGTACTTGTATTTCTGTACAATTGGTACCTGTCTTTCTGAACACTTGGTATTTGTCTCTCTGTACAATTGGTATTTGTCTTTCTGTACACTTGATACTTGTCTCTCTGTACACTTAGTATTTGTCTTTCTGCACACCTGATATTTGTCTCTCTGTACACATGGTATTTGTCTCTCTGTACAATTGGTATTTGTCTTTCTGTACAATTGGTATTTGTCTTTCTGCACACCTGATATTTGTCTCTCTGTACACATGGTATTTGTCTCTCTGTACACTTGGTATTTGTCTTTCTGTACAATTGGTACTTGTTTTTCTGTACACTTGGTATTTGTCTCTCTGTACACTTGGTATTTGTCTTTCTGTACAATTGGTACTTGTTTTTCTGTACACTTGGTATTTGTCTCTCTGTACGATTGGTACTTGTCTATCTGCACACTTGGTATTTTTCTCTTTGTACACTTGGTACTTGTCTTTCTTTACAGTTGGTATTTGTCTTTTCTTACAATGAGTACTTCATAATATTTACAACAGCTACTACAGTTTCTGTTGAGCATCAATTTCTTTCATATCACACAAAATAAGGGGACAAATCTAGTTTTCAAAGAAAATGTATACAACAACAAAAAAAGACATTAAAAAGGAATTATCAATATTGATCAAACAACTTAAATCTATTTGTTGGGGAGGGGGGAGAATATAATCATAGGTTACCCATATGTGTCCCATTCCAATTTCAGTGTCATCCCGGTGACTTCATTATCTAATGATTGAGACAAATCTCATACAATACAAAAGTCAAAAATGACAATACCTGAGAAGAGTTCATATTTCATGGAGCCAAGTCAAAGCTACATTACAGTATATAGAACATTGTCAAACTATGTAACTAATACTTGGCAGTAGTACCATCATCATGTTTTGTTATCGCCATTGCTCAGGAAGTACTATACAGACCTTTTTAAATTGACAAAGGTTCCCCTTGGATCCTAGTTATGCAATGAAACTTTATTTGTGTATATAATGGCAGCCATCTTGGGGTTTGGGGTCAAAGCTTGTTATCAATATTTCTCAGGAAGTACTTGACACCTCATTCTTTGATAATTGCATAGGTCCCCCTCTGGTCCTTTTTATGCAACATCAACTTTATTATCGATACGAAGAACAGTATGGCTTCTAGCACCCATCTTGGATCTTAGGGTCAAAGTTTGTTATCACTATATCTCAGAAAGTACCCGACATTTCATTCTTAAATGTTTTTGGAACAAGTTCCTCTTGGAATATAGTTTCCAACATCACTTTTTAGTGGATATGAAGGAACACTATTGCCACCAGGTAGTCCATTTTGGATTTCAGGGTCAAAATTTATCAGTATTTCTCAGAAAGTACCCGTCAGATCTTTCTCAAAATTTGTACTCTGGTTCTCCTTGGGTCCTATTCGTGCATATTGTTTTTGTGCATGATAATATAATGATATCAATTTCACTATCCTCTCTACAAGAACCATTTTATATACAGCATAGTTATATTATGAAGCCATCTTGTTGGCCTTATGCCATGTGTTCCATTATATATGTTCAAGGTCACGTAACAAAGGTCAGGGGCAGGTTGATCCATTTAGTATCTTATAATGGTAAACATTGCATAACAGGAAGTAATAGTGTTAGAACTGATGTCAAGTGCCTTGAATACTAAAGCGATCAACATCATATGGTGAAAAGCAGAGGTCATAAATGTTGAATTATTAACAGGAATTTCCTTTTTATTGTAAAAAATTACATATTAACATTATGAGGTAATATTATTGGAACCGACATCATTTTGACTGATGTAGATGTAAGGTCAACCTCAAACAGTTAAAATTAGTATCATCATTAGCAGTATTAGGAAGCAATTGAAAGGATGGACACCAAGTGGCTATTGATACCTGTTGAAGGGCTCAACAAAATTGGTGCCTTCTTGTGATCTGTGATAATGCAAATTACTGCTGTCATGTACTTTGATGTGTAATGTACACTACAAATGTAGGACTTGGAGCTGAGGGTGAAATATTTAACACCTGAGCTGGAAACAAGCTCATTTCTATCTCATTACTGGTTACTCTTACATCTTTGGTCTATCGCCATTAAAATAGTGTTGTACCTCAGGAGCAGTACATATCCATTTAGTTCTCATCAAATTATAAATACAAGGAAATGCAGTATAGAACCTATACTTCCTGTGATTGGTAATAGAACTAAATGGGATGAAATTAATTTACAAAAGCTAAAAAAAATGCTTCATATGACAGAAAATATGTACATATAGGCTTCTATTTTGAATTATTGTAATGGTTTGCCCCAGTTACTATTAATGTATTATTGTGGTAATTTCAGGCAGTGTTGCAGAGGTAATGACTGTGCCTATAAACGTGGTGCATCTCTCCCCTTGTGGTGCCCCCTAACTAATTGCCTCACTGTGGCCATCACATCTCTCCCCTTGTGGTGCCCCCTAACTTATTGCCTCACTGTGGCCATCACATCGGTGCACAACATAATGCAGATAAAAAAACTTATCTATGCAATGATTTGAAAAACGTTCCTATCAAAAAATGCTGATCTTGCTTTAGTTGTTTTGTACCTACTTAGACCATAGATAAGTGGCGTTAACCTATACATGGGCGAGTGATTGTTCCTGGGTCTTATGTGTATGTGTAACAAGTTGTTACTAGCCAGTCTAACATGTAATCATACAAGGAATAGATGTCCATCATTAGACTGTCATAGTGTAGATCTGTGTTCAGTAAGATCATCAGTCTAATAATGCATCCTTATTTGACAAAGGTTTTACGACCATTGCATCATGATAACATTAGATACACACTCAGTGGTGTAGATAGCACACATGTTAACATTTATAGTTCATCAATAACATACATGTATAAGTTTTGTTCATTCCATCCTGATAGGACATAACTTTATACAGATTGTACAGAATTTTGTGACTGGTGCCCACTGTGTATAGCCATTTCAGTTTGCCCGTCATCAGCATGATAGGACTTTGTGGGATTGATTGTGAGAGGTGGCCCTGGGTGTGTATGTTCAGTTCTTTGAAACAATACCTGACCCCAACATCAAGTACCAGAATGGAATTGTATTTGAATGTCAGTTTAATTATACCAGTATTTCTCTGACAATGGTACCACTATTGAAGATTTTATGATATTTAGTTTTGTACTGCCATGTCTTTATTTACGATTAGGATGGAAAAGTACAAATAATTCTGTAGTTCATTGCTCGACATTTTGAGCTGAATTGATACAATACACCTTTAAGCCTATGCTATGGTGTTGCATCCATTCATTGTCAGCCTTTTATATACAATTTTATCAGGCTTTGTACATAGGTATATCATGGGAAGGAGGTGTGTCCCATCATATAACCAGGTCACTGTGACCACTTTGACCTTTGACTTTTGACCTAAATTGCTAAAATAACGGTTTCCAGAGCAGATCTCATCCAATGTGTCATGAATGGGCTTCAAAGTTTGTATATAGGTACATCATGGGAAGGCATTGTGTCAAATCCTTAAACCAAGTCACTATGACCTAAATTTGACCTTGACCTAAAGCACTAAAATAAAGGTTTCTAGAGCAAACATTGTTTCATGAATTAGAATCAAATGTTGTGTATAGGTACATCATGGCAAGGCGGTATGTTGCATCTTAAGACAAGGTCATTGTGACCCAATTTGATCTTTGACCTTGACCACAAGTCCTAAAATACAATTTGATATATGTTTCCCCATCCTGTCTAAGTCACTTTTAATGAAAAGTCTTCAAACTTTGTAGATATGGAGGGAGTTGGGGTAACCATGAAGCCAACACTTCAAACTGTTAAATCTAGAACATTCTGGCCTTATGTTTAATTCACACTAGGAATATAAATGGTCATTTGATAGGATCATGGTGGCGATATTAAAGCCATTTCCTTATACTAAAATTATTTCTCCTCGCTGCCCTTTGGTGTCAATTTGTTTCATTCTTAAAATGATTTTTTCTATTGATACAAATAGGCAAAAAATACAACAAATCAAAATGAGGTCTGACAAGTGTGCTTTTACACCAAAAAACCATTCTATTGATCCAGCAATTAACACAATTACCTTCATTTAGTTGTTTCTGTGTGTTGGAGGAAAAGGGGGTGGGGAGAGGTTTGGTCAAAATAGTTTGGGGAAAGAAATGGTGGGTTATTAAGGCCATTGGGTCTTTTGCTTACTTTTCTGTATTATCATTAATTAAAGTTTGAAGTATGAAGAGTTGGTAATATTGGGATCATTTAATCATATAATCCTAGTAGCAATGATCAACTGAGCAGCATGCTTATTTCTTGTAAAAAAAACACCTAGTGTTGACCATGCTGTGGTTCTCCAATAACTTCCACCAAGGGGATTTGTACCACGTAAAAACCGGTGTTTGTGGCTATTTCATTAAACTTTATATCATGCTTTAAGTGGAAGGTTTTGCATCCCCTAAGTCTGCCCTGCCCACGCACTGTGTCCTTACCTCTGCTTACAATGCCAGGATGGAATGATAATGCTTTCATATTCTTATAATTAAATCTCATGGATGCTCAGTAGTATTAGACTTGATCATACAACTTTTGACATGGCTATTTCTTTTTTCGTTATATTGTGTTTTGATTTTGCTTTGATGTGGAAGAAAGTCATTTGTGATGCTGCTGATAATGAGCTGTGATCATATGTGGTCTCCAACAGGTTTCTGTGTCAAATTGAAAACATGTATAGCTTGTTTTAATTTGTTTCAAAATCATTTGATTTGTGAATGCAGTTAATTTTTCAACAATAAATTTATTAGCTGTATTGGAGAAATGATTTCTATCCCATTTATCGATGTAGACATTTGTTAAGTTTTGATGATTTTATAAATATTTTGTACATTATCTAGATACATACAGTATGCAGTAATAATGATTTTGAAAATTTCCTTTTCTTATTGTGTATATCGCTTGAAAATCAAATCTTCACGACACACTCAATTTGTTTTCTATATTAAAGTGACTTGATAGAATCTATGGCAGTACTGATGGTTATATCAGGTGAACCATATATTGATGATTGAAAAATCACTGAGATAGGTTTCCCACAGATGACATAAAATGGTTTTGAATTAAGTGTAGAATGAAGAAGTGATACTTCAAACCGCTTGTTTTGCGACCTATTTATCACCACTTTGCCTTCTATACCTGTGCTTGTATGTTACAGTTGGAGCTGCAAACAACGAGAGCTTGACGAACGACAGTGTGGCAGGCACAAATTCCAACAGATGTCGATAACTGCTGTATATATAGAGCTTGTACCATACTAGGCTGCATAATTTATTCCTTCCTCTTCACCCATATCTGTCATACGGAGAACAACATCTCTCAGATTTATACATTCATGTCTAAATGTTCTTTATCGACTATAAGTGTATCCAATGATTCATTGCCTTGCAAAGTAATCGAAAAGTAAAATATTTATTTTATGTCAAGGATAAGTTTCACCTATCTGTTATGCTGACACATTCATTCACCTGGTGTGTATAGACAGTTGGTTATCACACACAGGTGAATGTGTATAGTCATTATACACAGGTGAATGTGTATAGTCATTATACACAGGTGAATGTATAGTCATTATACACAGGTGAATGTGTAAAGTCATTATTNGGTCATTTTGATATAAGTGATTCCGTTTGTATTAACTGGTGGTCATTTTGATATAAGTGATTCCGTTTGTATTAACTGGTGGTCATTTTGATATAAGTGATTCCGTTTGTATTAACTGGTGGTCATTTTGATATAAGTGATTCCGTTTGTATTAACTGGTGGTCATTTTGATATAAGTGATTCCGTTTGTATTAACTGGTGGTCATTTTGATATAAGTGATTCCGTTTGTATTAACTGGTGGTCATTTTGATATAAGTGATTCCGTTTGTATTAACTGGTGGTCATTTTGATATAAGTGATTCCGTTTGTATTAACTGGTGGTCATTTTGATATAAGTGATTCCGTTTGTATTAACTGGTGGTCATTTTGATATAAGTGATTCCGTTTGTATTAACTGGTGGTCATTTTGATATAAGTGATTCCGTTTGTATTAACTGGTGGTCATTTTGATATAAGTGATTCCGTTTGTATTAACTGGTGGTCATTTTGATATAAGTGATTCCGTTTGTATTAACTGGTGGTCATTTTGATATAAGTGATTCCGTTTGTATTAACTGGTGGTCATTTTGATATAAGTGATTCCGTTTGTATTAACTGGTGGTCATTTTGATATAAGTGATTCCGTTTGTATTAACTGGTGGTCATTTTGATATAAGTGATTCCGTTTGTATTAACTGGTGGTCATTTTGATATAAGTGATTCCGTTTGTATTAACTGGTGGTCATTTTGATATAAGTGATTCCGTTTGTATTAACTGGTGGTCATTTTGATATAAGTGATTCCGTTTGTATTAACTGGTGGTCATTTTGATATAAGTGATTCCGTTTGTATTAACTGGTGGTCATTTTGATATAAGTGATTCCGTTTGTATTAACTGGTGGTCATTTTGATATAAGTGATTCCGTTTGTATTAACTGGTGGTCATTTTGATATAAGTGATTCCGTTTGTATTAACTGGTGGTCATTTTGATATAAGTGATTCCGTTTGTATTAACTGGTGGTCATTTTACATAGGTGTTTTAGTTACATTTAGTTACAATTAACTGTTGTTGTTGACATCAAGTTGTTAGTTTTGCTATTCTTTATCAATGAAGATGAGGTGATGATGTAAGAGCTTGTGTTGTATCTATGTTATAGGTGTGTTGTTACTGAAGCATTAGCATTGCTAGCATTACTGTATAGAGTTGGCCCTAGTGACTCGGTCTACCATAGGTACTGTGTAGAAACCTGGCTCGACTCAATACAAGATCTTGTAAAGTTGTTATATTTTGTTTTCATGGGGTATTTTGGCTGGATTTGTTTTATTACCGTATTGTGTTCACTTCATTTTGGTTTTGAACATATTCTGTTCTTTTGATGATTTCGCATGAATCATATAATTTTATGATGTGATTAACTTCACAGGAAACCACGCCTGTAGTGTGAGGTTTTACATGTATCTGTTAAAATGCTTCTGTATTCCAGTTTTCAAATCAATGGTTACTCAATGTTGAAAAGACTGATGATTTCATAAAAATTTGTTGTATACAAAGTTATGGGTGAATACTGGAATCAGGGTGTCAGTCTGTCCATCCATCTGTCTATGGACGATACTGGAATCAGGGTGTCAGTCTGTCCATCCGTCTGTCTATGGACGATACTGGAATCAGGGTGTCAGTCTGTCCATCCGTCTGTCTATGGACGATACTGGAATCAGGGTGTCAGTCTGTCCATCCGTCTGTCTATGGACGATACTGGAATCAGGGTGTCAGTCTGTCCATCCGTCTACAGGTAGAAGTTTGTCTGAGGCACTGCTGCTTACCTTCTCAACTGGATTTGTGAAACTCAAGGTAAACATGATGAGTACCTTAGTTAGCTGTGTACTTGGTAAACATGATGAGTACCCTAGTTAGTTGTGTACTTGGTAAACATGATGAGTACCTTAGTTAGTTGTGTACTTGGTAAACATGATGAGTACCTTAGTTAGTTGTGTACTTGGTAAACATGATGAGTACCTTAGTTAGTTGTGTACTTGGTAAACATGATGAGTACCTTAGTTAGTTGTGTACTTGGTAAACATGATGAGTACCTTAGTTAGTTGTGTACTTGGTAAACATGATGAGTACCTTAGTTAGTTGTGTACTTGGTAAACATGATGAGTACCTTAGTTAGTTGTGTACTTGGTAAACATGATGAGTACCTGAGTTAGTTGCATACTTGCAGTATATATTTTTGTTTGGAGATATGCTATTTCTGTGATCCATTTATGAATTTTGTTCAAAATGCTGCTACTCAACATTTTGATTGATATTTATGAAGCTTTGTTTACATAGTTATTACTAAAAGTAGTTATGTGCTTGCAATTTATTTGTGGTTTTGACTATGTTTATTTGAGCTATTCTCCTTTTGATAAAATATCTTTGAAGTACTGCAACTTAACTTCTTGACTAAAATATGGTACACATGGTCAGTACCTCAGCTAGTTGTGTGATTGTGATTTCTTTATTTATTTCATCTATTTCTATAGGACTTGTGCTCCTTTTTTGATTTTGTTTAATGTTGAAGCAGGGGGAATTGTTAAGCTTATGGTTTGCAGTTTACAAATTTAGTTTAACAGACTATTCGTCTTAATGGTCGTCAGTGAAACATTCAATCTGTGAAATGATGTACTTTAATGTTACTGTGCAAGTCAATGAATCATTGGAGAGGGATGGGTTGTAACTTAAAGATTAACATAAAGAAATGCACTATTTTGTTCTTTTTCATGTACAGATAATTTTGATAAATTGTAGATAAATAATATTAAGATATTATATTTAGCAGATTTTTGTACAGTTGGTTCCCATACATCACAGACTTCTCGCCTCCAAAGAGAAACTGTCACAGTAACTTTTATTATTAGTAGTAATACTAAATCTGAAGGTGTGTACATATTATTAGAATGTAATATTTTTCTTGACATATAGCATGTGTCTGTGGGAAATCCACAGGACAAACCAACCTGTATGATGATATACAATGTGTCTCATGCTGTAAGCTACTTGTCTGTTTCTTGTTATTTGTTCACTATGACATTTGTCCAGTATGACTACTTATACACTTAGCAAAACCAAGAAAAAAGCAACCTACCTGATCTGCTCAGACACTTTAATGATTACAAGATAAGAGAAGAACTTTTCTGACAGAAATCTTGGATGTATCTTCTTGTCTGGATGATTAGACAGACATACAACCAATTATGTTGAGTATTTGTTGTAAAGTATACTTCCTTTGTGATTATACTTGTCTCGCAATGCCAGCAGAAATTCTCCTGTTTCTTACACTGTTGTTAATTGTATACAACAAAAAACTGTATTCACAAATGCTTATTGGAGGGATTTACAGAAATCAATTTGAGACACAGAATAAAAGGACTGTATACACAATGTTCAGTGATTGACATACATGCTGAACAGATTTTGTCTATGCAGTGAAACTAACAGTATTGTCATCAATTAACCATGGCAGCTGTGTAATTATTGAAACACCCAACACACCTGTAGGCTTAAGTTATCATGTTTAAATTAGATTTATGAATATGAAATTCTGTATTAAAGATCTAGGTTAACTTAATACATGACTGTCTCCACATTTGTTGGTATGGAGATGATCTTGACCAATCCCATTGTAGATATCAAAGTTACCGGTGAAGAAGCTACTTAATGTAAGCCTGAAAAAAATAGAATATAATTCTCTATTACAGTAGAGTTTTACCCAAATATTATTGTACACTGCACAATATAAACCATAATATAAACCATGGTTGTATGATACTTAGAAAAAGGATAAGTCCACTTTACACTAAAAAAAACAAAATTTCTTTCATTTTGTTGAAAATTATTACTGCCATTCTGCCATAAATTACTTTGAAGCTCTAAATGACACTAAATATTTGTAAAGACTCAAATTTGAAACAGAAAAAACAAACAGATTCCCCTTGTTAATTAAGTCAAAGAGAAGAAGTAGGAGGTAAGATTAATTCATGATCAACTCCATTGGTAAATAAATATATAAAACTATTATCTTTCAGAAAGTAAGTAAAAATAAAATAGGTAAAAATACCTTCTGACCCTTGACATTTTCAATGATTGCTGTTGATTAATAAAAGAATTTGTCAGTTAAATATATTTTAGACATGGTGAAGATTTATTTTTTCAGAAGTATACTTAGTGTAATTGTTATTCTTTTTTTTTTCTACAGTTTAAATGGACTGTGACAACACTAATTTGATCCCAGGTATTTGTATATAACATGTTCACTGCACACAATATATGTTGTGGGAAGGGACATTTTTGTGTGTATAGACGGTTTAATCCATTTTCTCTGGTTTCCTAAGTACATATTTTCATGTTGGAATATCATTCAGTGCTACTGTTTAAACATGTCAGGAGTGTTTGTATTTGATAAAAATGTCCACTTTTAAAAGAATGTAGAATATTTCATGTTGTAAAATGGTTTTATTGATAGTTTCATCATTTCATCCTTTTTATTGGGAGGATTGAGCTAGCCACTGCAGCTTTTTAGCCTGGTATTTGCTATGCATATATTGGTATATTTTAGGAATGATTTGGTGATGACTTTCAATGTCAAATGAAAATAATGTATTTGGGTGTTTTATCAACTGGCCGCATGAACATGATTTTGGTGAGCAATATGCTTTGTTTTTTTAGGTCATCACAAACACAGTATTTGTTGAAGTATGTTAAATAATTTATGTAAGGATTCTTTCAAGTAGCTTTATCCAAATAGTCGCCTTAACATGACCTCTAGGAACAAACCGTCCTATCTTTTGTGGACATTTGGACAAAGTACTTGAATGTTTCGTGGCTACAAAGTAAGCAATCCAAATTAGTTTGTTCAGATTGCCATGAGCCAAGTTGATGTTTTGCTCTTACCTAGAAATGTATTTTTCATCTATTAAATCATTATTGCACCATGTAAGGAAAAAAATATGACTTAAGAATTATATGTAAT